CTCGGCTGGTCGTCGGGCCGGAGGGCATCACTCGGCTGGTCGTCGGGCCGGAGGGCATCACTCGGCGGGTGGAGGGTATCTGAAATTACTCAAAAGAGAATAGTCAATTCCGTACATATACAATGTATTTTATTTCACACAACATGAACAGTCTGGTGGAGACACGACAGGAAGTTAATGATTTGTGATGAAAAATTTCCGTCCACTAACTTAAGAAATGTAACAATTACCCGCTATCTACCCAAGGCATTGTCAGTAGGGAGAGCCACAATCTCTTGGTTGATTGCAAGGCGTTGAATATGTTGCAATGATACTCAGAGGGATATTTCTGGTGGGGCCCTCACCAGCAATGTCACTCGGAATGTCATCGAAACACATTCAAGCACCTTACCAACAACCAGGAAACAGTGATTATCCCTGCCAACAATAGTTCAGGTACACAGAAGGAACTGTTACATTTTTTCAGCTATGAAATCATAAATTATTAGATTACATTGATGAAGGTTAGACAATAATATGCTAAGTTACTCAAGCAACTGGATAAAATCATAAATCAGACCATCATAAATCAGACAATCATAAATCAGAAAATCATAAATCAGAAAATCATAAATCAGAAAATCATAAATCAGAAAATCGTACATCAGATCCAGTTGCTTGAGTAACTGCTTTTTGACATGAAATTACAACTAGTCTGTCCCAGTCCGTCTCTACCAGACCAGAAAAAAATCACAAATAAACTAAATGCAAAATCACAAATTAAAGACATGCAGAACATACTTAACCCGGCTGGTCGTCGAGCCGGAGGGCATCACTCGGCAGATCGTCGGGACCGAGGGCATCACTCGGCGGGTGGAGGGTGTCACCCGGGGAGAGTGCAAGCCGATGGTCGGGCCGTGGCCGCGGTGGTCGGCGGCCATGCAGACTGTGGCAGGAGGACGGCCTCTCCGGCGGGTGGTCGGGCCGGAGGGCGTCACCCGGCTGGTGGTCGGGCCGGGGAAAGTGCAACCCTGGCCGCGGTGGTCAGCGGCCATGCAGGATGTGGCAGGTGGACGGCCTCTCCGGCTGGTGGTCTGCCGGAGGCCCCCGGCAGGTGGTGGGGCCGGGGGGAGGGCCCCTCCAGATGGTGGTAGTCCGGAGGTGGCCCTCTAGCCGATGGTCTCTGGCCGAAGTTCATATCGTCTGTGGGCATAATAATGTAGAAAGAACACAAGACTGAGTGTCTGGGTTAAATGTACATTGTGTACCCATAACAGAGATGGGGACGGGAGAGACTCTCTGCTACTTGCGGTCCACAGATCATAAAACGATACTTCCTAAAATTCTACATGACATATTATATATACCAAACTTACCGCTCTCCTTCGTTCTTCTGCAGCTTCCACTGCCAACCTATTACGTGCTGTAATAGCTGTCATCCTGCGGGGGGGACGCAATTGCTAGAAAGGGATAAAAGGGGGCTGTTACAATCATGATCGGAGGAATTTGTAACATATAAACATTCCTCAGTTATATGGAGAGAGTTTAATTGACACAATATAAGTACATCGACGTAACAGGTCTTTAAATCATACAGACAGACGAGGTGTGTATGAAAATGTACGTAAAAGACTATGGAAAGACCACGAAATGCACCAAATGCGTTATATATTTAGAAATATGTCACAGCAGCGAAGTCAAGCGTTAATAACCTGATTAAAAATTGAATGTGAAAAAAAATTACCTACAAAAGACCAGCAGGACATATTTGAAAAAAAAAATTAAATGAAAGACAAGACATACATAGTGCATGGTCTTCTTCATCATATCAACACTTACCACTTTCACTCCAAAGAGAGCCGCTGTGGCCTGTCTCGATAGAAGGCCCGCAACCCTTTGCGGCCTCCACATACCAGGTGCAGGTGCACCCGGTGGTGCAAGTCGCGGTCGAGGTGGTCGTCGAGTCGGTGGAGCGGGCGGCACAGGCACTGGTGCAGGCACTGGCACGGGCAAGGGCGCAGCCGCGGGCACTGGCACGAGCACTGGCGCGGGCACTGGCACTAGTGGCACTGGCGGACCTGCTGGTGGAGGCGGTGGCGCTGGTGCGGCCGGAGCTGCGGGCTGAGCCGGTGGTAGTGGCTGGACAGGCGCAAAGCCAAACCTGGGATCGCTATCTGTAAGAAAAACACAGAAAGGGGACACATTTAGGAGGGCCTGCATTAGGTAGAATCAAAGCGAATTACACTACACAAAATGCGCCAATTATGCTCTATGTTGAAATAGAGCTGTCCGTCTACACTAGTTAAGTCTATTGAGGGAACTCCGAAGCTAGAGTGACTGATCTAGGTGAGAACATTTTCCTTTTGCGTTGGAACAAATGATTTACCGTTGAACAATGTAATTACCAATATAGTTGAACTTTCATGACAGCACATTAAGATCATTGCATTCAACTTGCATTCAATGTTACATTTGCGTGCTAACATGAAATCTGTTGATACTTAAATTAAAATCATTACTTATTAGCTACATAGTTTCAATGTCACAAGCAATTACATGTAATACTGGACTGAACAAAGCAGTTACTACAAAAATATATAAACCACAATGAAACAAATTGGCTAGCTTACACATGATGGCTTTATATCAGGCTAAAGCAGCTGGTCAAATTTTCTTGTCCTGTGTCCTGACAGATAAAGATCATATTAAAGCAGTCGCCAACTTACGAAACCAGTTGGGTTTGCGTTTGGGGCGGCAGCTTCTTCGCCGATGGTCTGGCGCTGCTGTTGGTGATATAAAGAAAAGAAAGAGTTATTAAAGGGCACATTATTGTTATGTCAAATGCATGTAATAGTATTAGCATGAATTTTAAAGCTCATCTGTGTTGGTACAATTATTCACATTGAAGTTTGAGAACTTTCGTTCAACACAATAGACATAATTGCTCAGCTCAAATTTTCGGCCGCATTATGATGATATAGCATCGACCATTCAGCGATATAGCCTTCGCAACTGATGGCAACGACCGTTTCATATACAAGATCGGAAACACAGTTGACAATGCGGTAGGTGCTACCAAAACCATAAATGATACCCCTGTATGTCCTAGGTACACATCATGTACAAACGCAAGAAAGTATAACAAAGTATACACGTAACACATGTCTCCGTACATACAAATGTATTTGGACTGAGTGACAAGACGGGGACCGATCCATAACTAGCGCCATCTAGCGAACCTCTGAAACATTCAGTTTCATAAAGCACGGCAAATTTGAAATAACGCGATCGACTTCACATAACACTGGAAATTTCAACGTCAAAAACCTAAAGCAAGCAGGTTTTCGATCGTTGGCGATTTCGTTTCATTTTGAAAGTAGCCAGTTTTCAAGATTACAAACAAAGGAGAGAGGGTTGTTCTAGTAAGATGGCGCTGTACAGGAAATGGCGCTGCATGGTAAATGATAGCAAATGTACGACAGCATGATCGTTGAAAGAAATACATGTACTACAGAAAAAAGGACAAGCACAAGCTGGCATTCGAACCCGGGTCAAAAAGCCTACACATCAAACACTAAACGAACACTCTACGCTACGAAACTTCACAAGAGTTGGCGGAGCGATCTACTACTACACATGTAGTACCTAGTATTTTCACTTTTGTTTACCACTATATATGAAGAATGGCTTCGATCCTTTCCGATGGTAACGATTGTTTACGAGACAGAAGTTAGTGTCCCTTTCTTAAAGAAGTACTCGAGCTTGGTATATCGCGCTTTTAGTGGACACTCTTCGAAGTTTCTTCCCGATCGATGGGAGTTTTGCGCCTGTAGGACTCATTTTACGACACTAGTAATTGATTAGCCCCTGATTGCTACTGTCGTCGTGAATATCCTACCGGGAGCATACTTGAGTCTAGTGGTAGAAGAGCTCTTTCAGCCACGAAGAGTACGTACCCAAACTGCGATAGCTATATACATAGATTGGACATCACTCATCAGGCCAGAAAACATTCCTAATCAATCGGCATGAGTAAGTCACGATTTCTGTTGATGGGATTCGTTCTATGGGCAAGATGAAACTGTGTAACGAACAATACTGGAAGTATAATTGGGCTCACCGGTGTTGTTGATTCTAGCCATTCTCTAGACTGAGAGCAAGTCGATAGCAAGAGTCACAGGGACGTAATCGCGTAATAGTCACAAGGACGTAAACTGAACCCTCAACGAGAGTGAGCTTGGCCTGCTCGTCAGGCCTTATATACCCAGACGCGCTGTCCCGACGTACGTCTAGACACTGGGTCTAGACACGTGGGTCTAGACACTACGTCCAGACAAGACAAGGTGTGGCTGGAGGCTTCCGTGTTCGACCTGAGATGGGGAAAATGCAATGTCGCTGATGGAGAACGGTTGCTTTTTGTGTATCATAGGCTGAGTCTAGTTATCTATTGGTGGCACCAAAAAATAAAGGGACTCACGTAGACTGTTCTGGGCCTATTTCAAACACATTAATTATGAAATGATGATTTTTCAATATCGAAAAAGATATAGCAGACCGATTTCCTCTCCCAGAATATCTTTTGCCACCCTGCAATTGCAGTGGATGCCTTTATATATATATATTAAGTCCAAATTTATATTAAAAATCTTGTACAATGTTGCAACATTTCTTATTCTTTACTTTTCACGTAATCTCTTTTGACTTGGAATGAAATTCACAACGACAACATCATTGCTGACATCATTCATTCTCCAATTTATTTGAACTTCTTACACATTTTTCTACATGACATTTGATAACATTATTAAATTTACTTACATGTACTTTGACATTATGAATAAATACAGCTCACAAGGCAATGCTAGGCTTCACAATCAAAACCATGAGCACAAAGTATGTTCTACAGTCATGTTTATATTATGATCCTACAGTTTAATCTCAATACACAGACCTCACAATACAAGTACATATAAAAATGTGGCCATTGAAAAAATGAATTATCAACAATGGGTCAGTTAAAGTTGGGCAAGACTAGGGGGTTAAGAAGAATTTAACCTTGTTGCTGAAAGATGAAGTTTTACATGTCAGCTGAAACAACATACTTCCTTCTGTATTAAGGTACATGTACATGTATTTCCTTGTCTGTATTAACTTTGAGTCAGAGATATTTGACTTGAGCACAATCTGATTTTTCAATATCGTACTTTTTTTCGTGTGTCCACAGTCAAAAGTGAGGTTTTTTTCATTCAAGGTTTCATTTCTTAAACGTACACTTTTAAATCGGCAATTTGATACACTTTCTTTATGTCTCCCTCAACACACATTTTGTATTCTATGGTTTATATAATACTACATGTACAAAGAGTATAAATAAATAGAGTATGTTGTTTGGATAGGACACTAACAATTCATGAACCACTATCAATATCAACACTTCTTGAAATTACTGGAAGGACTGTAAGCCACAGTAGAGTTTATGCATATTCAAACAGTTCTTACCCTTACCACTTTCACAATGAAGAGGACAATGTTGAGTGGTAACCTAAGTGGAAGATACAGCACTGAGACTATATTCATCAGAAATAAACACACATGTAACACTTTCCATACACTGTTGTTCATAACTGTTCATAAGTTATATTGTTAATCTGTGAATTCTATGTTGGACAGCAGTTTTCTGATAAAATTTTTCTTATGTAGAAAGTACATTTCTTTCAGAACATTGCTGGTATGTATACAACTGATGAGGGTACAGTTAGTGAAAGCACACAAAGGACATCTTTTCACATTTCAGTGATATCTCTACATTATTCAGTGATATGTTTGTGTTACATTTTTGTACGATATATGTACAGGGATTGTCTGGTTGTATCTGCAAATTCATATATTCACTTTAGGACTTGAAATTGTACCATGACATCAGTTCTATCCACATGTACATGTATGTACTGTAAATGAAATGCTGACAACTAGTGATTATTGACTGCCGGAAGTTTTTTGGGCTTTCATAGATTTCTAGTTCATTCTTTTCACTTGCACCAAGCAACTGTTTGCAGGTGCTTTAGGTTCTGTCTATATGTGGTTGTATGGCCCATTTGGTAGAAGAACAGACTTTGTTGAAGTTATCTTGTCATGTTGGAAATTGGATGAATTTCCTTTGATAAACTAATGCCTTCAGCTTGCTGCACATGCAGAGGATGGATAGAAAATGGTGTTGGAAATATAATTAGGTTGACACAGTTTCAATGATAGAAACCAAGACGTAACAATGTTTCTTGCTTGTGTAAGGACATACATGTCAGCTATGTCACTGTGCAACCTTATGGCAGTTGACCAGAATACAATGAATTTATCTGATGTTAAACATACAGTTACAATGTAGGTTGAATCTGTTTCAATGATACAATGTACAAACCAAAATACATATGAGGTTTCACTCATCCCAGAGTAAAGCATACATGTACATGCACATGTAGGTAATTGCGAAATTGTGTCACTCTGCGACCAGTGTAGCCAGGCAGGAGAGGTGTTCAACATATGGTGAATTGATCTTTTTTGTTGTGTAAGAAATACAATTTTTTATATTTTGATGATAGAAACCAAAGCATACATGATGTTTCATGGTAGTGTAAGGATGTACATATAGGCAGTGTCACTGTGCCACTGGTGGAGCCAGGCGGGAGATGATGCCGATGGCCTTGTTGCACATGTTACGGATGAAGACAGGGCAGCTGGGGCGGGAACACAGCTGTTCCATCATCACACGCAGCTCATAGAACAGCTGTCTGCAGAGGGACAAAGCGAGATGTACATGTAACTACTAGAGAAAGGTAATGTTTACCTTCATATGGAGCTGGTCTAGCCTAACAAATTATATATTTTTACTCAAACACATAAATATATAGCGACCAGCCCCTCCTGGCCTGTCACTTGCTACATAATGTAATCCAACTCCACAGGGTGTCTGCTACAGCACCAGTTACCATGGTGACAGACATAAAGGTAAACCTAATAAGGATCAGGTTACCTTGAGTAGGGGTTTCTCCTGGAGGCGTACCGCAGGGTCAGGAAACGGTAGTAGATAAACGGCACCAGCAGACTCATCCGTCCTCTGGGAAGATAAAACATTCTGTAACCACAGTCTAGAACATTTCTCAGATAATGATAAGATTAAGTGGGGTTACATGTTGTTTTTTTTACTTCTCCAACCACCAGGTAAAACAAGGGAAACAGTCACTGTGAGTACATAGGTCCTGAATTGCTTGGAATGAGTTTGTGGCCAAGAAACAACAATAAAACATATACTTGAATGTTATACTTCTGAACCAAAACTTTGGTTGAGGAGGTAAGAGGTGGTGGAAGGGGAGGGATGGGCTCCTCCATCCAATACCTTGCCCAAGACACAGTGTATCATCAACCAACTGTCCCAATGGCCTGAAAAAGGCTATTTACCTTAACCTTTATACATTTACCTTATTTCTTCTGACCAAAAGGACAACTCACCCGAACACCATGAAGACCACTGCCGGCATGAGGAAAATCTCTGTGCAGGCCACCAGGCGTAAGATGTCCTGCTGCCTGGCAACCAGCTTGTCCAGTAAGGAACGTAGAAACTGGCCAGCGTTTGGGCCCTGGAGCTGTAGATGGGAGATTAAACACCTTACTAGTATTACTCAAGCTACAGCACATGCTCCTAGAAATGTAAATACAGAAAGGAAAGAATAGAAAACTTTGAAATGGCTGATAGAATTGGATTTAGCAGGGATCTATAATGTATACAAATTTCATGTACATTTCTATCCAATATTTACCTAAGGTTAAAAGGTCTAATAACTGTTGAATATTGTTACTTTGCCAGACTTAAGTATGCTTCTAGCTAATATTCATCCATGCATACTGGTACATGTAAGGCATACATACAAGTGTATAGAGCCCTGGACAATGAGAGTTTGTACATATGTATTATTGCACAGACTATATGAAACAAGGTGACCATGTGGTTAGGGTTGTTGACTCACATTAAGTAATGTCTTGGTGAAGGCTGTTGCATGGAGCAGGGCAAACAGGAACACTGGCATGAGAATCACTGCGACATACTGGTTAAGGGTTAATATAACTACGCACAGTATATTTTGTTCCACATTCATGATTGTCAATGGGGAATTAAATGTAATCAATCTCCAATTCAAGCAGATTTCTTCAGGGGCATCACACTATAGTTGGCCAACCCATAACCAGTTAACCTGTCTACATAGAGACCACCTGGGCAATGTGACCACTTTTTTGGTGGTTCCTTAAATCATTAAAAAATTTTGTTGTTATTGACACTTGAAGCACCAGTCCACACACTAGACCAGATTTTATCAGTCCCCTGAGTGGCCTCCTTGGACAGTTTCTGACTGTATGACAATCTGAAAGTCATAAGGGCCAGATAAACATTTCAGGGCCCTTTGAAATATGAGAGGGACCTGCAAACAGAAAACAAACAAACTAACAAAACTAATAATTACAAGGGACCTGCTAACAGTAAATCAGAATTGGAAGGGTGTAGAGCTATTGACTGCCTGTGTCAGAAGGCATGGGAGCCCCTATTAAAGTCTAAGTAATTTCGCATTTTGAAAAGGATACTTGTGAAGGGGAATGAGTTGACGAAGATGAGTGCGAAGAAGAGATAGTGTGCGCTGTCCTCCAGCACCAGCTGGGCAAAGAACTCCCTGGTGAGCTGCGGGCGGGGCAGTCTCTGGTGCAGCCGCAGCACGCTGGTGATGGCACTGCTGATCAGGGCCCGCTGGTAGCAGCCGTACGCAACATGGACACTGTGAGAGGGTAGGTGAATGATGTAAAATACAGTTAAAGAGTAGAGGTCCTTCCTGCAGATGTGAGTTGTTCAAACCATACAGTCATGTTTCAGGCTTGAAAAGGTGACAATCACCTGTTATGTCAATCCTTCCAAATGGTGGGGTCATGTGGTATAACAAGTGTTCAAGTGGTCCCGGGTTTGAATCCTGTCACTGATCTTGTGCCCTTAGGAAAGGCACTTAACACGACTTTCCTCACTTCACTCAGGCGAAAATGAGTGCATAGCGCTATAGCTTCAGTCAGGGACATCCTCTCAGATAGGACGTAAATTTAAAGCTGGTGTTCCCTTGTTTAAGAAGAGACACAACTCAATCACATTAAAGATCCCAATGCTCCTATCAAACAGAGCTGGGTTCCTTCCCAGTGTGAGTGGTTCAAACCTTGCACAGTGTGATCACTATTCATTAACAGGTTGCCACAAACCTAGTTACTAATGGAGCATGTACTTGTACAACCTTTATTCAGTGATTTAAAAACAGATCCTCACCCTAACAACGGTATGGCATACAGAAGGGAGCATCCCACGGTGAAGACTCGACTCAACCACAGGCCAGCGTCCACTTTATGGGCCAACATGTAATTCTGCAACAAAGAATAATTAGGAAGGTAACATTAGCAAAGCAAAGACATCATGTTTACCACATGGTCTAGCCCGACAAACTACTGCTCTGTTGATTCTTACTCAAACACAATCATATACAGACTGTACATGCATGCATATGATGACCAGCCCCTCCGATTCTGTCCCTCGGCTCTGAATGTCTTGCCACTTGCTACATAATGTACAATGTAATTCAACACCAAAGGGTGTTTGCTACTGCACCAGTCTATCTCATGTAACTTCTTGACTAATCTCTACTTCAACTTTTGATTTTGACCTTGGAAAAGGAAAACGTTGAGCTGCATGTCATATATAGTCCTAAAATGTCTCCACCACACTGAAGTGAAATGCTATGGTGTTGTTCTGTATACTGGACCACAAATAATTGGAAATCAACTTTTATAAATTGAAGAGGCTACCCAGTTGTGTTATGGTGAAATGAATAAATGAATGAATTACCACGACCCCAGGCTGTGACTCTGAGGGGGCTGTCCCAGCATCCCCTGCTCCAGTTGAGCCACCACCAGTAGTACTGTCCGCCATCCTGTATCTCACCTGCAGTCAAAACAACAAGTTTTTCCTTTCACTCCCCCTTTTTTCTCCTTTTCACACTTTCTGTATACCCCTATGGTATGGATCACTTGAAGTACAAGGAAGTACAAATGGGTCTTCTTCAAGTGTTGCCAGTATCAAGTAGGCAAAACTGGGGTGGCAAATTTACTATGTAGAGATGTCCAGATCACGAGATATCAAAAACAAGTGCTGCTGCATTACCATAACAAGCTGCCAGGGGGCCCAAATTCTAACCATTTTGAGGTCTCAGGTCCTACCCACCTACCAAATTTAAAGACAATCAATCCATAGCTTCTTGACTTATTGCCCTAAACCACGTATATAATATACATACACAGATACAAACGCTACCATAAACATAACATTCTACTTCAAGTTCTATCAAAGGTAAATTATTTGACATAAGAAACAGGTGAGTAAGTTACAAGTCCAGAGAAAAAGGCGCCTTCTTCAGATTGGTAATACAAACGCAATCCCTAATCTTCCAATTAAGCACGTTAGGATACCATCATACCTATCTAACGCTTAAATACACAATCATGTATGTCGAGTCACAATCATGGCAGATATGCATATGCAGAGTGGTTTACTCAGCAAGAAATATTCTTACAGTTAACTAGAGCAGTTTTCAGACGATTCTCCCTTCTAAACCGTATAAACACCGCATTTCTGACATCCATATATATTCAACACATCCCCAGTAACACATCTACCCTACAAAACGGAATACTTACGGGAGAATTCGACAGGTATTTGGGAATATTCGAGAAAATTGGCCGGCACAGAATATTTACAGCATGCGAGTGACGTCACGGGTCATGAGAGGTGAGAGTTCAGAGGTCGGAGTCTAAAGGTCGTTTTGCCGGTACATGTGGCCACGCACCGCGGATTAGGGATTAACCGGTAAGGTGTAAAGTTTAAGGTCAAAGAACAAAAACAAACGTGTGCTTTCATTTGTGTTAATCATGTGGCTACGGCTGACAGACGGCTTCGCTGGGATTTGAACCCGTGTCCTTGTGGTTCAGACAGAAGTTATTCTCCAAGCAGATGTCGAGAGGGAGAGGGGGCGATGTAACGGTCTCTTTTCAAAGCTAACCAACCTGTTTTTTCGGAACAGAATTGGGAAATGTGACGATCTCCCCTCCCATATTTTGCTTCCAGGACGTTGTCTCAAAATGTCTAGGCGTCAGCATGATTGTAAAAGTGACTCGAAGCATCATGTTTTTGGTGGTAGGCCGGCATGGTCCATCCCTTTTTCTCCATAAAATTTGCTTTATGATTTATAGCGCCTATAACCCCCCCCCCCACTGTTACAAAAACATATTGTTTTTTCTCTGTTTCCTCTTCTTCTTCTTCAAACCAATAAAGTCAA